AAGTGAAAATGTCGAAAGTGAAAATGTCGAAAGTGAAAATGTCGAAAACACTAATAGCATGTATTTAGTCATCTCTTTTATTGACAAGAACCGTAGCAAATAAAGCACAAGTCAAAAACTATTCCAAAAAAAGAGAGATGAAGAAACATTATATGAATAGATTAAGATAACAAAATTTGACAATAAGGATAACTATTTTAAGAGAAGAAAAAGAGACAATGAATAAATTAAGAAACAGAACTTGGCAGTTGAATATAATATTGAAAAAGCTATTTTCAATTCATTTTTTTTTGTTCATATCTTTTGCGACGATCATCGACAAACCTTCGAGGTATTCATTCAAATCAATTTCATTATTTGAAAAATGTCTGCATAAGACATCAAGACGTTCTTGGATGATGCAAGTTCTTTTTGACTTTTTCTTGAGCAAACCGCTTTTAGCATGGAGAAGTTGCTGTTGAAAATGAACTTCTTCTTTCTTGAGTACATCAATAAAATGCCAAATATTAGGATGTACCTTATCGACTCTATGATTGAAGCGGTTATGCCAACCTAAGATACAATAGAATAAGATTATAAAAAGTATAGAGAAGTAATCTCACCCTCGCAATTATTATTAGTACGTATTTTTAAGTCAGAAACATTCCATAAATACATAGATGTTGTTTTCATCCAGAAATTGTCGAAGTATTCGAAAAGTGGCATAAGAACATCTGGACGTTGTTCCGTAAGTTCTTCGAACGCAAACTCTACTTCATTTAATGGAAGAAGAGGTAAAGCCATCAAACGTCGACACATGTTGCGCACATTGACATCATCTTTGTATATGTTGCTTAAACCAAGATTTTGAATTTTTCTGTAAATTGCCTGAGTATAATGGTAAAAGCAGCCAATGTGACGAGCATTAGGAAACTAGAAAACAGATGAGGAGTTATCACTTGATTCACTAAATTTCATACCTGTTTTTGCAGTGGTTTCACAAGTGCTTTTTCAAAATCAGTTGTTATCTGATCTGGTAAAAAGTTCATTTGAAGACGTTTAGCTTCTTCTTCAAGCTGTTTAAACACGTCTTTGTACATGGGATTGGAACGGCCCGTGAGAAGAACGAAGACACATGGAAAACCTATAGAACATTGATTAGAATGAAAGAAAGATGCAAAGTGTCATTCGCTTACATTGTTCGTACTTGATAGCATGTAGCGTGTAGAGTTGTTCAAAAAATGGTGGGCAAGAGGAAAATGTGCCATCCATTAATATATGTTTGGCTTTGAACAATATACGTAGTTGATCATCAGTAGCAAAAATAAGGATCCTTTTAGTTCCTCGCATTTTGTCATAGAGTAAAAAGCGATCACCATTGATTGTTTGAGCATAAAGAGTGGGAATGTCAAAATGACATGATTTTGGCAAAGTCGGAGTTTCTTGACGACGAATACGATTCAATGATGACTCTACAAATCATGAAATAATGGCACGAGTGACAAAAAAAGTACACTTACTTGCATCTTGTGCTGATGGAACAATACAAAGAGCAGTTTGACTTAATTGAGCTTTAGCTAATTCTTCGTCGTAAATGCGAGCAATTGGTGTGGCTTCGGTAGTTACACGTTCTTTGACGTTAGCGTTGAAATTAAGAATTTCGATGTGCTCAGGTGAAGGTAAATGACTTGAGTGATCACCTTTACGTGCTTTGAATTGATCATTGGCATCAGTATGAAGAACGGCAGAGCACAGACGATTCTCACAACGCCAATATTTGACCGCGGGACATGACTTGTTTAACTGATATACAAATCCATCACAAATAATCACACGTTTGCCTTTGTTACTTTGTGAAAAAGTTATGATAGGTGTATTACTCATGTTGACATAAGCAAAGAATATAGAAAACAACTTGATAAATGCCTGTAGAAATGGACGCAAGCTGCTATATATATATTTACAATTCAATAATTAATCAATATCGTTAGATTCTCTTAGCGAGACAATGCATCGTCAGTTGATAGAAAATTGCTTGAAGACGTCATGGACGTCTCTTTATTTCATTTTTCTCTTTTCGCCATTTTTTCTTTCGACGTTTTATTTTTCGTCAATACGCTTTTCGCCATTTTTACCTTTCGACATTTTCATTTTCGCCATTTTTCTTTCGACATTTTCACTTTCGACATTTTTTTTTTCTACAATCTGCTTTTCTACGTCCGGTTTTTCTACATTTTGTCTTTCGACGTTTTCCCTTTCGACATTTAACCACCTATTCAACACATCAAATGGCTAATCAGAAATTTACCCATTTTTTTGATACTTTTCAATTAAATTTCTATCATCAGTGTTCATAATTACGACAAATAGTTTCAGTTTAATTATGTCAACGAGTATTTTAAAGTCAACGAAATATTCAAATAGTTTACCCGATGACATTTTTAATTATAATCAGAATGAATTTTATGAATTTATTAAAGAAACACGTGGTGCTGATGTTGCCGAATTATTTAGCTTCCAGGCAATTAGACATGCAACACATCTAATAGACACAACATGCGATGAAATTTTGTCAATTTTAGAAGAAGATTCAAAAGATATTAATAACTTGAAGAAATTGTGTTGTTTTCAACTTAGTGATAATAAATTTCGAATTAAATTAGGTGTCAAACTTGCGATTAATAATTTAATTCAATCATTAAAGATCAAACAAGAACAACAACAACAACAACAAAAGAAAAAAAAAGATCTGCACAACAACGTACATCGTCCAGTGTCAAAGTCAAGTCATTAGTTAATGATACATTATCAGAAGATGAAATAGTTTCATTAGAAGCAATACCTGTTTCACCGGTAGTTGTTGATACATCATCAACACAACCGAAAGTAAAAGTAATAGAACCTGTTTTAGATGAGATCGGTCATCTAACTGATATTAAAAAACGACTCAACCAATGGTGGATTTCTATTAACAGTAATGACAATGTATTTTTAGAAGAAGGTGTACATTATTTTTTGCAAATTAATAAATCAATAAACGATAAATATTATGCTTGTATTTTATCATGTTTATGTCATACTCATTTTAAACTATCATTCATGCCAACAGGTTTTTTTAAATTGTCATCATTTTGTCGGCATATAAAGGAAAAAAAATGCTTTAAACAATTTTTGAAGAGAGTGAGTTTTTCTTATCTTGAAAAAACCAGTGCTACATGTTTTTATATATTTAGAAAAATGGAAAAGAAAATAGTTTAGTTGATAATCGAAATTCAACTACAACTCAGTCAAATACGGCGAATAGTTTATCAAATACTAGATCGAAAAAGAGTAAAACTTCACAACGTACATCTTCAAAACGATTTCGATCACCATCAACAGAAACATCTTCAGATACTGAAACTACTGCTAACAAAAAAAATCGGTCTTTATCATCAAACTCTACAAATAGTTCGCCAGAAAAGAGAGCTCTTGATGATAATAAAAATTAATTTATTTGTATAGAACCTATTACTTGTCTTCTACTTCAACGCATAAAATTGTAACTAGTACATTTAATCAATTTCATACTAGATATATCATTTTCTGTTTGCATTAAACTTTATCCTTTTTTGCTAAACAAATACTTCCTTTCTTATTTTTGTTGTGTCTCTTGATTTTAATAGTAAGATGAACAAAATTTAACTTGTAGTTTTCTGTATTTGAAACGAAACTATTGATGATTATATCTATAATTATTTAGAATAAAGAACTGATGTTTTTTGTGAACTAATTGATTTATATACTTTTAGGAAATTTAGTGCTTTTTACATATTCGATATCTCAACCAGCGTTTTTTTTATATACATATTTAATACTATTTGTCTGCTAGTAGCAATGGATATCTATACTATCACCGAAATATCAGATGATATGATGAATTTAAGTTATGATAAATTCTATGATTTTTTGGACATCGTTTTAAACAAAGATTTAAGCAATCTTTTTCGAGTACAAGCTATTCGAGAGATGTCTTCTTTATCTTCATTAACAGTAGATGAATTAATTGAAATTCTTAATTATGACATTGTTGAATTACATTCTATTAGAGAAAAACTTGGTTTTATATCATCTGACGGACGATTTCATCTTCGGCTTGGATTTAGAAATTTACTTGAACGTTTATTGTCATTAGTAAAGTTGAAGAAAAATTCATTGATTAAGAATCTTGAATTAACACAGGAAAATACAATAAATGATATGTATAAAAAATTGATGCATATATGGAAGCAGGCACCTAGTTCATCAAATGAAAATAAAACTCCTATTCTTATTTTGTGGATTAACAATATTTTCAAAAATTTAAAAAAATCGAAGAATAAATTTAGTTATGATGAATATATTCAACAATTTTCTTTGTTATTGCTCATTCTTGGTGGTAGAAATTGTTATGAATTTTTAAGATTAAACTTACCAGGAGCATTACCACATGTTTCAAATGTTGAATTATTAATGAAAAACCAGGATGTAAGAATTGTTGAATGTAATTTTCGATTTGATCTATTAAGAGATTATACACAATCAAATAACTGTAATTACGTATTTTCTGCTGAAGACTCAACAGGTTCCATTTGTCGAGTAGAATATGATGCACATTCTAATAGTTTCATTGGCTTTTCAACGCCTTTAGTTCATGGTGTTCCAAAGCCAAACTTTTTCCAGACGGAACGTTTCGATGAATTAAAAAGTTGGTTTGATAATTTCGATAAATCAAAATTCATTAATCTTCATATGATTCAATCTATAAAACCATTTGTTCCTCCATTGATTTTATCTACTTACGGTTCAAATAATAAAGCAACTTCAACAGATGTGTTGAAGAGATGGTTATATATTTATAATAAAAGTTTAGCTCAAGGTGTGCGTGTTATAGGATTTAGTACTGATGGTGATTCTCGTTATTTACGAGCAATGAGATTATGTAGTCGATTTTTTGCTGAATTACCAAATCTAAATTTATTTAAAAATCATGATGAATTTTCTATTAACATACCAAGACAATGGAGTTGGTTTTTCATGAAAGAGCAACAAATTCTACTTTTCATGCAAGACCCAATTCACGTTGCAACTAAGTTTAGAAATAGACTTCTTTCTCAGGTAGCATCAATGAAAATGGGCAAATATTTAATTGATAAAGAACATATAGTTTATTTAATTGAATCATATAGTAAAATTGAACATAATTTAATTAAATGTGACATTAATATAAAAGATCGACAAAATTTTCCATCTTGTAGGAGAATATCTTCAGTAAATGTTCTAAACTTATTAAATAATGAAAATTTTAAAGGAACTTACGTTTATTTATCATTGTTACGTTCGATTATAATAGGATTTATTGAAAAGTCTAGTACAATTGAAGAACGATTATATCACATATGGACAGTTGTCTTCACATGTAGATTATGGTGGAGTTGGATTCATTATTGGACAATAAAAAATAGTAGAAATGATGATAATTCAGCATTAGTAAAACAACTTAAATCTAACAGCTTTATTACTAAACCAACATTTTGGTGCAGTGAGATCAATGCTCATACATTTCTTTATATTATTTTATTAGTAATTAAAAATAAATTACCTGTTGATGCGCTCAATACATATCTTTTCAATTCCCAAACTTGCGAAAACACGTTCAGAATAGCTCGTGCTTTATCAGGCCCATATTCATCGATTACAAACTTTACTGTAAAATCATTCATAAATAGATGCGAGAAAATATCTATTATTAATTCTATTAAAACTCATAGTGGACACATAGGTCACTATCAGTTCAAATTTCCACAACATCATAAACATGATAAAGAAGTACATGTTTATTCAGTAAATCCTCTTAAACAAATTAATTTAACAGAATTTGATATTGAAAAAATCATACAAAAAGCATTTGAATCAGCTAAAAACTATGTTACAATGGTGAACATGAATGAGCTATTAAAAAATAAAAATTTATTTTCTTTACCTGAATTAAGTCAATTTATAAAAACAAATATTAGTAAATCATCATCGAAAGTAGTAGATTATACGGAGGATATTGATTTTGATGAAGATAGTGATAAAGATGAATTCGATGATGAAGATAGTGATA